CAAATTGTTGAAGTTATGGCCTCCAATCTGAAACAATTAAATTGTATCGACAAACTTTATTTTCAACATCAACTTATAATCTTACAAAATACAATAACAATTTTTTTTAAAGAAGATGCTCGAAAACACCACCTTGTTCTTCAATACATTTTTGGGCACGTTTTTCAACTGCTCGAACTGTCTTAAGTATGGTCCTACCATCTATCTGGGTTATCTTTTCCCTAACTGCAGTCTTTAACGCGTCAAGGTTATCGTACCTTCGCTTGTAAATTTGGTTCTTTAAGTAACCCCACAAGAAGTAATCAAGTGGGTTTAGATCTGGTGATCTGGGAGGCCACTGTATTGGGCCATTTGTTCCTATCCACTGATCATTAAAAGTAGTACTTAGAAAATGATAAGTACCTCTGGAGTTGTGGGCAGGTGCGCCATCTTGCTGAAAATGCAGATGATGTCTACTTATAAGATCCAATTCGTCTAAGAAATTAGTCAGAATTTCTGACATAAATTCCACATATCTTTCACCAGTTAGGGTTCCCTCATAAAAGAACGGGCCAACAATTTTTGAACCAATTATACCGCACCAAACGTTGAAGCTGAAACGGACTTGTGGGCCTCTTGGATGTACTAACAAAACATTTTCTCTTGACCAATAATGGTGGTTTTTTCTATTAAACATTCCAGAATTTGAAAAATTTGATTCATCTGTCCATAAAAGGTAACGAAAGTTATTTACATTTTGGCGACAGAAGCTAAGATACCAATGGCAAAAAACAAGTCTTCTCTCTGGATCCCCTGCCAAAAGCGTTTGAACTGGTCGGTACTTATACGGAATAAATTTGTATTTTTTTAAAATCCTTTGAACAGTACCATAACTGAAATTAGAGTCCTTGAGAATATCTGCTATTGAATTCTCACGATAAGCTTCAAAATATCCAATAACTGCAATTTCCGTGGCCTCGCTTATTATGAATTCTTTTTTTGCCCTTGTTTTAGCAAAAACATTTTCGTTGCCCCTAAATTTTCGATAAAGTCTCAGAAAATATCGTTCATACGGTTGAATGCGAGCGGGATATAATTCACTGTAGTATTCTCTTGCTCTCAAGGAGGATTTTCTGCACACTAAATAGCATTGTAACATATCACACTTTTCTTCATGGGAGAACATTTTTCTTTAAATTAATGACACAATAAAGCTTATAAACAAGTATTTACACTAATGTTTGACATTATTTGATTTTATCATTGTTTTCCAAAGCCTTCTAGTTGCGAGTATGTCCAGTTTAACAATTTGTCGCTTATCTTAATGCTGTCAAATCGCGAACGCCATGTTGTTTTCATAGCCGTCTTAATATTATAATACTGCAAATAATTAAAAATATTTATCGTTATTTTGACTTTATTTTTGACTTTAGCGGAAAAGTCATTATGAACTTTTTTGTTTAAAATTTGATGCTTTAACAGAAAAAAATATAATATACAGGGGTTTCCATTTAAAAAAATGTTATTTTACTGAAAAAAATCAAAATAACGACTCTCAATTGTTTTTTTTTTATTTCTCATTTTTACCAGCGTTAAAAATGCTACTAGTTTGCTAATTCAAACAACTTTGTATTTTCACTAATAACAAAGTTACTAATGGTGGACACTTAATTTGGATAACCCTGTATAAATATATATCAGTAGGTGCGTTTTACTATAAGTAAAAAAAATATTTTTAAGGTATCCAAAATTAGCTTCCAAATGAAAAAATCAGGTATCTGTTAGCTCAAGCAAAATGTAATCTCACCAAATGAATGTAAACAAGAAATATTGTTTATTCCACCACGAAATTATATCACCAATGTTGCTCGCATCACAAGGTTCTAATTATATGCGTCTGTTTACAACCACTTAACGCTAATTGACATTGACTTACCAACTTCCTAGATACACCCCTACCACCGCTTTGGGAAATCAACGAAAATGGTACCTGAACTGTTGATGTAAATTCGGGACCAGCATATACATATTTAGTCACTAACAAGAATATCTAATTCAGTATGGTCGTTTGTGCCATGACCTAAGGAAAGGTGTCCATTTGTCTGTTAAAACAACGCCTTATCCGACATCTAGTCTCTAGTAGTTAAAACTATTTTTTTACCGATCGATAGTAAATGTGTCTTCAAACGATAACGAAGCCCCTCAAGTTTACAAATAAAGATGAATGAATTTTTCACATATCGATTTATCTTGACATAAGCAGGTATTTACCTCAGTATAGTAAAAAGGAGAATGTTATTTCATTTTAGCTGCAAGAAGCAAGAAGGGGTGTATAATTGTTGTGCCCTTTAATGTTTTTGTTTTATTTATTTTAGCCAGAGTAAGCTCTCTCTTTTCAAAAAGAGATTGCGCGAATTCACCTCAATTTCAAATGGCAACGAAAACACAATGAGCTCGCGTATTTACCTGCAGACACGTTCTAGCAGGCTCGTGGTGTTGAAATTAAATAATTTTTCAGCGTGTACATCAAAGAGTTTCTCGTCGGCATGTGAACATTCGTCAGCAATGCAGGCCCGAGCCGTGGACGATAAATAGACCAGGATATATAGAATTTTAGAAAAAAATGTTTAGTGAGAACATTTTTATACAAAGTGAGATTTTGTTTCACAGACTTTCATTGTCTATAATCACAACTTTTAGATTGATGTGATCTACAGTCGTCATCAGGTGAACGTGAAACTAAAAACTGGATAGACATCGAGAAACAACGTCCCAATCATTCACATTGTCACCAAATTTCAAACAACAGTTTTAAATAAAGTGCTACAGAGAAAATTTGGGAAAGGAAAAGCATTTTAAAACGATAGCGATTTACAGCCACAGCTAATTAATTATGACAGAAATTTACCGATTTTAATTTTTTTTACCGTAACGTGCGTATCGGGAAATATGGAATAATAACCATCAGCTCTTGCTCTTCATTTTCTGAGAATTTATAATCTTTAGTAACCTTCATGAGGATAACGGTTGGATATTATTCCATATTTCCCGACAACATCTCAATCATCCACATTGTCATCAGATTTCAAACAGCAGTTTTAGAATTTTAAACGACCGATTTACTTCAACAGCTAATTAATTGTTACAGAAGATTACCAATGATTTTAAAATTTGTTCCTTAACAAAGTATGCGACAAGGGAGATATGGAATAATATCCAACACTTAAGGTCTTGCTCCTCATTTTCTGAGAATTTATAATATTTAGTAACTCCTTCGAGGGTAAAGGTCTTCTTGACAACCTCTCTAACAAAGAACCCCTACTACTGTTCGTTTATGCTCAGTCAGTACTTCGTATGTCTTCCGGGCCTAGTGGCCTTCCTTGTAAAATAGGTAGACTGCATATTTGCAATCTGAAACCTCGTCCACCGCTTCTTGCAGCCTGTTATGAACTATCTCACTAGAACTCGATTGGGCTACTAATGTGGTTGAGGTAAATTTTATAGTCACGGGGATGGGGCACGTTGTGAGTATAATAGTGGCTCTAGAACCGTACCATGTGGAACTCCGGCCCCAATACGCCATTTTGTAAGTATCTAGCAACGTAATCACCGCAGTAAATTGAGCATACTTCTGAATGATCTTAGGTGTACTAATACTTCATATTTTTTTAAGCAAAAATGCAATTTCTAGCTTTATCGTTTAACGAAGCTATTTTGGGCTAGTGCTCCTGATCTATTAGTATTATGTTCGCAGCTGCAAAATACTAATTAAACGTGAGCACGTAGGGTGCAACGAAGAGATTTCACTGTAATCCGGAACACACATTTGAAGGCTAATATGATTGGGGAGAGCCAGTATAGTCCAATAAAGTTTGACTGTGTGTAGTAAATGTTGATAACCAAAGTGTATTCAAAACGCATTGACTAAATATTTGTAGCCCTGTTGAGGCTTTCTGACTTTTTCGAAAAAAAAGATGCGGTATTGGCGAGAGGCAACCACTTAGGCGCCACCATGCGGGCAGCTTTTGAACTAGCGGACTTTAATTCAGAAATTCACACGCGCAGCCTCAAATGAAAACTAAAGGTTTCGGGAAATATTCCTATGCCCCAGCATTCAAAGCATCAAATCAAGACAGATCATCCGTTTACAAAATACCAAGCACTGAAAAAATAGGTCTAGCGATTGCCCATGGTTTATATTGAGAAACGAAATTGGTTTCACTTTGAGTAGCGGTTAGCACTGGAACACTTTGGAATTTGAAGAATGTTATGCGAAAAAATGTTAAGCATTAACCATTATATTGAAACTTGTTTCGCTGTTTGTAAAGAAAAAGACTTCTGAATCTTAGGGAAGGTATAGGTGCAGGGTAAGGTTGAGAATTTATAGTCGATATCAAGATGCATCCTTTATTTACAGTACAAAATATAAATTAACAAAAATCGGTCCATATATCAGGGCAGTTATCGTCATCAAGCCAGCCATAGGGATTACCAAGTACTTCTTATAGGTGTTTTCAATGGAGGTTAGTTTCTGTAATTAAAATAAGTTTCGTTAGAAACTAGATGAGGTCTGTCATAATGTATGTTTATGGTTAAGGCTCGATTTACCGAGTATTTATATTCACAACTGGGAAAATATACAGGGTGTTCATTTGAAAAACTCTCACCACGGATTTAATGCAAACCACTGTTTAAAAGAAAGAAACGTCGAGACAGGTCAGAAGATTTGACAAGAGGGACAACTTTTTAACCAAAAACTGCTTCACCTCCTTTCACCCTCGCCACCCCCTCCCTCCCCACCGGGTAATTCCCTTAAAAATTTTAAATGACAAGGGGTATCGAGTAGTAGTTTGTTTCAACAGGTTTTAAGGTTTTAAAAAGTCCTTTATTTTGACGTTTAATTTTTCAAAATCAGTCGATTCGTTTTCGAGAAAATTTGAAAAATCTTTATTTATCCTAATTTGTTCAGATAGAGAATAAAAACATACGAAAATATTGCTTTTTATTTCAATAAGTGTTTAAAATGCTGCCCGTCAGGAATTTGAACATCGCCTATATCATTATTTGGCCAATACTAGGCAACATTTTAAACACTTAAATAAAAAGTGAAAATAGTCCGATTTCAAAAAATCAAACGGCAAAATGAAGGTCTTTGACAGTTCGTGCAAAGGAGCTATTAGCGGGACCTCATGTCATTAAAAATTGTAAGGGGATGACCCTGGGGAGCAGAGGGTGAAAGGAAGTGAAGCAGTTTTTGGTTAAAAAGTTGTCCCCCTTGACAAATCTTTTGAGATGTCTAGGCGTTTTTTATTTCAATCAGCGGTTTTCAATAATTCCTTGGTGAGAAGTTTTAAAATGAAAACGCTGTATATCAAACACTATACCTTTGGGTGCAAAATGCAGATTTGACGAAACAATAGTCAACCCAAAAACCATGTCACTATTATGCAAAGAGTTATTTTTACCTTTTCGGGGTTAACTTTTCCTTAATCCAACTGAATCCACTTCCAATTACCTCAACAGGTTTCTTAAACATTTCGAAGCTTCTACGCCTACGTGTTAAATCTTTTTGTGTACGTCTATTACGAAAATCTAGAATAATATTCGATTACTGAGACTTCTACACCAGTCAGATATTTTGAAGCTTACAGGTAGTGTTGTAAACGCTTACATGTCTACTTGTGAAAAGAGAGATGTGAGACTGTTTAACTCGCTTTTTAGGCTTGTGTAGGAACTACTATTATATCAAGAAGGAAGGCAGACGATGGAGAAGGTAATCAGTTAGATTAGGATTAATTAATTTTATCAAGAGGATTTATAAATACCATGCATTCCTTTGCAACAAGGCCCTTCCGTCTCCAGAGCCTCTACATTATACATTGGAGAACGTTTTCTGTCTCCACCTGTCTTGGTGTCCTCAGCATATAGCACCTTGAGAGCATTAAATATTATTAGAATTGCATTAAGCAAAAACATGTATCTGCTATAGCTAACTTCAAATTGTTTTATAGCCTGGAAACACGAAATTGTACACTTAAGAACCTAACTCACGCTAGATTAGTTTTGTACTGGCCTGTATAAATGACACATGTTTAACCTGTAAATCGCCATTACTTGATTCAACAACGGATCACATCCTAGCCCTTTAATTTAATTTAAACCTCTTAAAAGCAGTATTTTGTACATGGCAGAGTTAGGCTGTAGCTTAATATCCCGGGAATACCTTTACACTTGATCTTAATTCGCTTGACTATTCGAAGAATATAGTCATAAAAATACCTGTTCTTCACTGCTGTCCTGAGCGGCTCGTCTCGCCTTCTTCTCGATAGGCTTCGTAGAATCCTCCTCATTGGTACTTCCTTTGCCTAACTCTACATTCTCGCCATCGTCCGTATCCTGTCGCGGAGCATTTTTCCCGGCTGCTTCGTGAGTATCTTCGTGTTCGGTGAACTGCTCGTCTTTGGGTGCTGAAGTAAGCGCATCCTTATCAGAGCTTGGAGAAATAGAAGATTCCTTATCAGCAGCATCTCGCCTTCTACGAACACATTTTTTCGTTGATCCTTCCATTGCTTCGGGGGTAGACGTCTCGGGAACATCTTCATTTTCTGCGGAACGTTTCTCTTTAGGGACCAATGTTGTAGCTGCACCTTCAGAAGCTTGTAGATCCTCTTGAACAGCTTGTCTTGTATGAGTTTCTTCTTTCTTTGTTTCGGGTGCCGCTGGTTCAGTCGTAGAAGATTCGGGAGCATCTTCTTTGACATCGTCATGAGGCTCTTGGTGTTCAGCAAATCGTTTTTCCTTAGGAACTGATGTCACAGACCCACTTTCATCTTCAGAGCCCGCTTTGCTGTCTGTGGGGTCTTCTTGATCTTCGGAATAGCGTCTCCTACGCCTACTTTCTTTCTCTGGCTCTACAGTAGATTCAGAAGAATCTTTTTCGGGATCCTGGTAAGTTTCTGGAGATCGGTTTTGTTTGGGAGCTGATGTAGCACTTTCATCAGAAAGTGTGGAGGTCTGATCATCTTCAGCGGATCGTCGCCTACGAGCATATTCCTTCTTTGATTCAGTAGTCGTTTCTGGATCATCGCCATTGACATCATCTTGTTCTGCTGAACGCTTTTCCTTAGGAACTTCTGATACGGTTACGCTCTCTTCAGTGCTTGCTTCAGTTGTAGCGGAGGCTTCATCGCCTTGAGTAGAAGTCTCATCGCCCTCAGGTACTTTTGGCTCAGATGCAGCTAATTTTGCCTGAGCCTCATCGTCTTGTCCTGCAGACCGATTAGCAGCATCCTTCTGAAAAGACTTATCGATACCAACATCTTTCTCTTCAGTATGATGCGTCTCGTTTTCCGTTGAGCGTTTGCGAACGCCTCCTTTCTTGGGATCACCCTCAGGTGCCGCATCTTCAGACTTGGGTTCGTCGTTACTTTCTCCAGACTTGGCGGCTTGCTCTTCACCACTTGCATGTTCTTGGGGAGCAGGTTCTGAGTCTACTGCACTCCGTTTTTTGCGAACATCTACATGGGAGATAAAACAGTGTAATTAAATTTTATTTTATCTAAAAGATTTATATTATCTCGGATCGACAGGCTTGACGTTTTTTAATAAAATTTGGAAAAATGCCCACACCTGTTTGTTGTTAATGGACAAGTTCTGACACCCCTGATTTGTGCTTAAAGACCTAGTTGGATAGTGTTGCAAACCAAATGGCTTATCCACACGTTTGAATTTGTGACTGCCTGCTGTGTTTTTAAATAACAGCGTGTTAAAGTACCTTCATTTCCTCCTTACCTTTCTCATTTGGTTTGCTCACGGAATCTGCTCTTTTAGGATCATCAACACCTGGTGATCGCGTTTCGTGGGCTCCACTTTCTTCTGGGTTAGCTGTAGTTTGCTCTTGGTCTTCCGAAACTGGCATATCTTCTGGCGGTGGAACATATTTAATTCCATCTTCTTTTTCAGGTGTTGTTTTCTCCTCAGCAGCTCGTTTTCTCACGCCGCCTTTGAGCTCTGGCACAGGGGCGTCGTATACCTTGAATTTAACGGAGGCATTTGAAAATATAGTATGTTACTGTGAGCATTACATAGCCTAAGCGCATGAGGAGGATTGGACACGTTTACGTTTAGCATTTACATATTCCACGAAAGGATTGTATTATATTAGTATATGTATAAGAAGTACGGGAAATGACAAAGAATTAAAGCGATAAAAAAGCAAAGGTTGGAAGTCCAAATGAGATTTTCCTTTTCGGTCAGTCAGCTCCAAAATGCACAGCAGCTCATATTGTTTTTTCAACTGTTCACTTTTATATCTACCCATTTTGATATTAAGATACCTTTGACAGGTTTATACCACATAGCACTTGAATAAGGTCTTCCCTTACTGATTGAACTGATCGTCGAATTTTAATATATAAAAATAAACTCTAAACCTAACAATACGCACAAAAACATGCAATAGTTAGATTTTGCCTCTCAGGAATGGGAATAACGGGTTGTTACTAATGGACTCCACTCACTTATGGAATTGAGGGGTTTTGAAACCAATCCGAGAAACAAACAAACGGTTTTGAAGATGACTTAGCAGGTTTTTAAACGTATTTTAGGATGCAAAACATGATTTAGACTTTTTGTGATCAGCAGCGGTGGCCGCAGTCTCCTGATCAGTCGCCGTGCGCTGTGCGGGTTCGAGTCCCGTCCCAGGAGAAATTTTTCTCTTGGCTATGGATGTTGTGATTGTCCGTAGGTGGTAGACGGACTCTGACTGTCGAACGTGGAGGTACCACCCGGCGGATCTCGTAGGCGGAGCCAGAATGTGTGCATGTTGCATGCACACGTGTTCCCTCGCCAGAGTCCGTGTGGCGTCCCCTTTCCCCTGTATCCCCCTATAGCCCCACGTTGCCCAATGGGTGTTTAGGTCTTAGGCCTTCGTGGTAGTTGGAGTATAAAAAAAAAAAGTTCGCCTCGCTATCACAGTTTGGTTGAAAAACGGACTTAGGGGGCTTTGAAACAAGGCGACTCCGTTGTAGTATCTTGAGCTCTTAAGCTTATGGGCTCCAATTTCGGGCCACAAATATTGTGTTACGAAGTTATAATGATAGCAAATAATACTCGAAATGCTCGATCGCGTCATCGAAATTCGGTCGCAGTAACCGCCAAATTTCAAAGAAATAATCTTCAAATGCGGAATACTAAGAAAGACGACCGTTTTTACCTGACTGTCTCAGAAAGAGGGTTACGTTTATCGAGCCTGAATCGGTCAGTGCAAAAACCTCATTAGTTTAAATTTTACAGAAGACAATGGGAACTGTGTCACTGACAAATATGTAGTATTTGAGTTATATGATTCAAATTTTGAATAACCTTCACAGTTTATTAAGATCAATACCTAGTAGAAAAATCCGGAAAAACTTATGATCTTACGCTATTCTAGCAGGAAATAAGGTTAGAGGTGTATAACTTTAGCAAAACAATAATTTTATATTATTATTAATAATTAATTCATTGCTCATTATTCAAAACTACACTTCCTATATAGGGTAAACCCAGGCAAAGCGAGCACCTGGAAAAGCCGAATTTCATCTAAACCATGAATCGACCATCGTGAAAAAGTACATAGACTTATTCGTTCAACTTTATTCAATAATCAGCGATTGTAGAAGAATTCAGGAGTCAAAATGTATATTTAAGAAAAATTGATATTGCAAAATATGTAGGTGTTGTGCCTGTAAATCCATCATTATACAGGGTGTTCAAAAAATAGACGGATATATTTTAGAGTGTAGTTCGTTGTTAAAAAAATATAAAAAAAAGTTTCCATAAACATGGGTCCGGAAATGCCGAGTTTTCAATGTACAGTTTAAAAACAACTGAAGGTTTAGCTACTCCCGTAGAAACTATATAAGAATTAAGAAATTAAATCGTGAATGCTTGCGAAGAAGTAGACTTCGAATGTTAGCTCGAGTTCGTCGTTCAATGATACGTCGAGTGAGAATGAATACGGAAATGGATGGTAGACATTTCTAATATTTGTTGTAGTGTACTTTATGTCATAGTACCTACTGAAAAGGCTGCAATAACACTTTTTCCTAGAATTTTTTTAATATATGTTTTCCAACGCACAAATTAATAAACCAATCTTCTCCAGTGACGGTATTTATTTTTTTTTCTCGGAAACGAAGAAAAAAAATACAAGAACCAAAGAAGTTGTATTTTTGGATGTTTAATCAAACAACAAATATTAATGTTACAAAAAAAGGTAGTGGCATACATTTTTCTGTCAATAATGTTCGCTAAGGTACCCCCCTGGTCGCCACTGGACCTAATATTTTTATTCTATTCATGGCTAAACTAGCGTCTTAATACAACAAATAATATTGCCAAATTTCAACAGAATCAAGTAAACATTTTTTAGGATATTAATAATTTTTTTTCAATTTACCACCCTCTAACTTGACAACTCTGCATTTCTGGGTCCATGTTTATACAAACCTTTTTCAAATTTTTTAACAAAGAATCGCCTTCTAAAATATCTCCGTCTATTTTTCGAATACCCTGCATATCTAGAACAACTACTAGGTATTTAAAACATTTATCGAATATTTAAAGGATCTTCTCAGTCATACAAATAAAGGGTTGAGTCAATGATTTTGTCAGGAAACAAGAAATCTCTTACATAAGTAATTTTGGGCAAAGCTACCCGTTGTCATCTTATCTTTGTAGTTAGGGAATCAAAAATTGATGCATACAGCACGTACGAGTATAGTAGATATGGATATAAGCGACGCAGTCAATGTGGTACTGTTTCTGAAAAGTCCCAATCAAGTAAACGTAGAGTTGTGCTTGCAAAAACCAAGTACGTCCCGGACTTACGATGTTTTTACACTGAACGTGTATTACGCGGTGTTATTTGAAGGAAAGAAAATATAGTGACTTACGAGGTGTACACCCAAAATACACATCTACCTTTACTGGAGCGTTTTCAGTAAAAGAGCATGTTGGTAAAAGAATGGACTTGAATGATTTTTGAAATGACCGATTCGATTCTTCAGCCCAAACCGCTTGATGGATCTCGTCAATGACATGTGGATTCACCTTCATAGCACAATTGAAGTTTCAACCTTCATGGTTTCTGAAGCCAGATTCTGATATTTTTTCTTTTTTACCTTGTCAACTGGATCAAGTACATCAAGCTGGGAACTGGCGATCGTTGAGCTAAATTCAGCCTGCCGTTTGTGGACCATCTCGTGCTCAAAAAGTGGCCCGTCCTGGTCGCCGAATGGGTTGAACGTTTGACCGGTGTGCTTATGACAGGGAACACTGAGCGGCCTGTTGTCTTCGTACTTGTAGAGATCATCATTGTAATCCGGTTGCAAGAAACCAACGTAGCCAGCTCTATTGATGTGGTGGTAGCGTTGTTCCCCGTTTTCTGAAAGTATACGAACTTTTATGCAACATCTGCTTGCTTGGCACTTACCGCAAACTTGAAGTGGCAAGCATGACAGACACCGAACTTATAGTGGACATAACATTAGTATTAACTCATTTTTATCATAAGAACAAATAATATGTCGAAGAAAACGAACAGTACGTCCAAGAATCAGGAAAAGCCTAAGTATCTATTTTTGAAAGGGATGGAAACTTTTATATATTTTATTTAAAGAATCTCAATACCTGTGAGAGACACAGTTTAGTTTAAGTTAGGAAAAATTGAATGGCCTGAGATATTAGAAAAACACTAAAATTTTGCCAAATCATTTTTATTTTGTTCTGACTTTATTTTAAGTAATATCAAAAAACAGATAAAACTTTTCCATTGGCACTTTTTAGGCACTACATGATGGTGTTTCCAAATTTTGTGCCCAAAGGTTCATACACTTTATTTTCTTATATAGTCTAAAAATATACACCCTGCATCTAATAGCATTTTTCAACTAAGTATCACATGTCACATTCAATTTTTTGGTTATAAGGAAAAATGTTTTTTTTCTGTTTGCTTAATTTTTTTTAAGTAGGCGTTGCAAACAAAAGCTTACCTTTGGCACAGGTTAATAGAAGTTGAAAATGTATGGAGTTCCTTAAATTCGTTGAAAAAGATTGTACAGGTACAGGGTAATACTTTTTTTTCGGACCATATAAATAAATAAAAACGAAACATCAGGCACAACATTTAAAAACACCATCATGTAGTGTAGGGTTCTGTTAGTTTTTTGATATTTTTTAAAATAAAGTCAGAAAAACTAAAAACAATTTGGCCAAATTTTAGTTTTTCCCAAATTCATCAGAAAGCCCCAATGAACGCAGTTTTTGTATTTGAGCCCTAGGAAATATAGAGTCAAATCACTTGTAACCAATTTTTACACATTAGTAGGTAGGATGATCCCCATTCTCAACAAGTGATGACAGAAATATTAAAATTACCAAAAAATCTGAGAATAGAAGAGATTGATTTCAAAAATTGTGTTTAATGAATTTAAAAAAATACAATCCAAAAAATAAGCAAATTGAGGTAATTTGGAATTTTCAATCATATATCTATAAACTACTTCGACCTGAAATTTGGGAAACGAAATCAATCTTTGATATCCCTATAAAACTCTCCCCCGCATAATTATGGAGCACCCCATGAACGGTGTTATTTCATTATCATTATTTACCTAATAAAAGAAATATCACTTTGCCATGGTATGCGTTAACTAATTGCGATTTTTCGTGTTAGTAGTGAAACAAAAATGTTTGCTGTGCTATGGCATTGAGATATTACCTTCTAACTTAAGTTCGCGATCTGAATTATGATCCAAGTTCTCACTGTAGTCCAAGATCAGTCGGTCCGGATCATCTTGCCTCAGTTCCATCGGATTAGCTTGACTAGCACGATGTGCGCAGATGGACCTCTCATGGTTTGAAAGTGGTGGAGCGGCACTGAAAAGCGATATCAAAAATAACTTTAGAAAATGCTAAGTGAGTTTTTAAAGGCGCTTAGAGATGACCCGGGCTCACAACTATGAGATATCTGACGTGAAGGCTATAAAGATATGTGGTCCTCAAATCCCCAAAGTTAGACATTCACTCTGATTTAAAATTTCACTCTGATGTCAAAATGATGTTTCACTTGCAAGGCGTTGACGTCATAAATTTCTGTGACAAAAGCAAAATGAATTGTGTACATATTCATATGATTACAAGCATCCTTGAAGGTAATTCTTCGGCAAGAATATTAGTCACAAAGCCTTCAACAATTTTATTATTAGTGAACAAAAATTGATGTGTTGTTTTTTCTATATTATTTGCAATTGCAAAATTATAATTAATTTACCTACAAGTGTTTAGTAATATTTTATTTCTAGAGACGAGGAATAAAATAAAAATGCATTTGATTAAAACAGTTGGTGTTTGTCTTCATTAAGAATAATCACAACATTGGTTAAAATAAATTATGTACAAAATAAGCAAAAAGTTAAGAAATATTTGCTGGAAAAACTATAAAACTGAAAAGTGAGTAATAAATAACTTTTTAACTTACCTAACAGCTGCCGCTGTCAGTAGCAGCAGTTGAGGTACTGCTACTACTTTCATGACTGGCGCTACAGCTCACTACTTGCTAGTACTCGAGTATACCACCAGATACTACCAATTGCTTTTTTGGGTATCACCCATATTTATATGCTTCTTTATCACCATTCTGTTCAGTTGAATCACTTCCAGAAAGAATTAATACAGTTTCCGTAGCAGGCAAACTGCTGATTAATCAATAATCATTCATAAAAATGTTCTGGTCAAAGAGGGCAGTTCGATGTAAAATATCGTGCCCTGTTCTATGTTTTCAGTTATTAGGCTAATTTTATAGCTTTTATCGAAAAAATGAAGATAGTCTGCTTGGAGGGTGAGACTCTCCAAAGGATCGACTATTGGGCTGTCCAATACACGGATACTTCGAAGATTTGCAGCAGAACTAAGTAATCTGGAAGTTACTGATCATTTCACTGGGAAGTGATCGCTGATTTGTATAATCCATTATGACTGCTGCGTTGATCTTACCTAATACTATCTTGATATTATCCTGCAGTTACTGTAACTGACATGTCATACATGCAAACATAGTGACTCTCCCTCTCGAGATGTGAGCAACCTTGAGCCTTGTGGCACGCCAATGCCCAACGTAGACGGCGGACCACGCCCGTTTTAAACACCATATCATACACTGTCTTACTGTCCAGTCACTACCTTTTATCACCACCATGTTGATGACAAGGTGTCCTACCACAGCAGCTACAATGTTTTGATGAATTTAGTGAGCGCCCTACACTTTTTCATAGATATGTTTCTATTAGCATTCCTGTTATCCAGGAATCAAAAAACGCACAGCATTGAAACAGTGCGCAAATAAACGCAACGTTTTGTAACCTAGCCCTGCCACATTTGTCAAATGAGTATCCGCAAGCTCAAGGACAGAGCATAGATCAACCCCTAGTGGTTACTAGGGTTACTGTGTGGTAGATTTGTCAATTTCACATAATCTGTTTATTTGCTAACCAGCTTATTACACTTTTTCATTGATGACGTAGCGGACCTTTTGTCCCGACACAGTTCAGTCGCCATCAACCGTTGTAAAAATGAGGATCGTGCTTTTGCCATTGAGGCCCATTTTTCGAGCGAATGCTTTGTGATTGCAGCTTAGGACGGCTTTCGGAATCGATTTAATTTAGCCCTGTTGGCCACTGGAACCGGAAATCAATTATTGTCACGTGAGACAATACTTTCAGACAAACTGCAAGTGCGACAAGACGAAGAACTATTTGATCTTGAAAACAATGTAAAACGAACCTTTCGGCATGTGCTCACATTATAAAAAAAATAAAAATGTTCTGATTCATATAACGAGTTTTATTATGTTTTGAAAAAAGAATGTAATGCTGCCACGCCCTGTACCCAAGTACATTCATAGACTCTTCTCATTTTTCAGCGTGAAACACAACTTGATTATATAAGTTTGCCAAAAAATACATTTTACGGGGGTAATTGCGAAACGGATCGCTGTGCAGCACGTATATCAACTTCCACTGAATCTTCAAGGTTTCTGTTTTCTCATATCTACGAGAAAATAACCTTATTTTCAGCAATTGATATCAGTAATAGATGTAATATTTTTCAGTTATTCCAAACTCAACGTATAAGAAGAAAGAGTCCACAACCACACAATGACTGGACTATAAAATCAATACATGACAATGTCTGGCCATTGTTAGCAGTTATTACCAATTATGGTCATAAAAAGCTAAATTTTGATAACTCGGCAGCTTCATAGGTGATGCATATTGACCATTATATTGATAAGTAAATCCATTGTTACCTGCATGACTACACGTATCTAGTATTTGAAAAAAGCAACCTCTTATCAGAGCATTATCATTATCAATCATGAACTCATTTAGTGTTAGAACGATACATATCCTAACACAATTTTTTCATTCATATTTTGCACATTTCTTATTTATAAACTGGGCTGAACTATACTTTAGCGCATATAGCAAATATTTTGGGTGCTAATACTGTGGTATAGAATACTGCTTTATAAGCAGTTAATACAATAGATTGTTCAAAATTATATGAATATAACATACACTGTAAGTTACTGTGATACTGTTCATCGCAATTTTGCATTATTCTAACGATGAAAATAGTACATTGTTAAGTAGTCATTTCTTCTATTTCAGATAATTATTCCCATACTACATCACCGTCACTGTCATATTCTCCCCATCTAGTTGCGATGTTGCCAAATCATGGATAGTAATATACCTTGATTTGTTTTGTCAAATTCTTACTTATATACTAGCGCAAAAACGTGCAATCGCACAGAATTGTCATGAAAATACGATTTGGAGGTGTGGCCGGCAGGTTTTACTGTACTAAATCCACCTTGTGCCCTACGATAGCATTAGCTAAAAGAGACCTTTTTGAAGAATGCCTGATGGCCTTCACAAAAGTACTTCGGTTGTTGTTTTTTGTATATTATAGTTATAATCTATTTACTTTTTGAATGTATGTACTTGAAGAACTATTTAAAGTGAAGCTGATGTTACAAAATGTACCTAATTAAATGTGATATATATGTGAAATAAATGAAAAAGCAGTTGTTGCAAATCACTAAATAATGAAAACATAACAAAGAACATTGCAAGTTTTTTGATGATTTGATGAAATGATCGTTGATCTTTATTTAACAATAATGTTGGATGATGATATGTTGTATGAACCTGGCGAGGTGGTCCAAATCGACGAATCGACGTTGGGTATTTTTATATTCATAGCCCGCTTGTGCCTTTTGTATTTTTTGACACGCGAGCCACTGGTGCATTTTCGGTAAACATTGGGACAGCTTTTCATAAAACAAGCCATTTACAATAAATTAATACTTTTATTTTGCAAATAACTTTATTTCTAATTACGTATTTCTCCCATAAAAGGTACAACTTGACAACAATGGACATCATTTATCTTATCTGTCAAGAAATGAGCGTTATAAAAAGGCCATTGAGAATTGTTTGTACTTTCAAATATTTCTTATAAACGCAAAAACTTTGATCTCATTAAAAGTACGCCAAAAACAGTTTAAGGAATTTCAAAAAGACATTGAAAAATTGACGTTTCGCGGGCGTACGGTTTTATTGTTAGAAACTGTAGAAGCTTTAGCCGCCCAGAGTCACTGTTGGTTTTGTATTCTGTATATATTAGACCGAAATTGGAATATGCATCGTTAATTTGGAACCAAATTTACAAATGCTACATTGATTCTTTTGAGCATGTTCAGAGAAAGTTTCAAAAATTTTTATCTTTTAAAGTTGACGGTATGTATCCTGAACGTGGTATATCTGAAAGTTTGTTATTGTGTAGGTTTCAAGTGCAGTCGTTAGAATTGAGAAGGAAGTGTGCATCAATTACGATAATGATGCTAATGGGATTGTGTGATATACAGTTTGAACAGCATTCTGGGAGTAGCTAGAAATTGCTTGGATAATTTATGATGTGTTACTCACCTGAATGAAATATACTTTTTTTGCTTCTTTTTCTTGTTTGTTTTTGTCTTTAGATGAAATCACCTGCTTTTTATGTGTTTTCTGTTCTTGTTATTTTGATTTATCTTAGGATTGTCCTGTAAATGATTTCCTTAACTGTTGAGCAATAAACGCTATTTATTTATTATTTATTTATTATTTGTGCAAACCGGACTTGTAGAAATGACAGGATGGAGATTCAAACATTTATACAAGTAATTCCTTTATGTACGTACGCTTAGTTGATGGATGCATGAAGTTTAGTAGTGTACGAAAGGAAAGGAAATTACAATCGTAGGCATTCCCTTAGTAAAGGAGCAAAAATTATAGGATTGGTAATCCGAGCAACGTAAGTTGCTGCTTAGCTACATCAGGCCCAAATGGGTGTGCACAGAAAACGCTGAAGCAAAAAACATACACGAGTGTAACCTGAAGGATAACAAAAGCTTAGTGAAAAACAAAGGACAATCGTGGGCATGTTCGCAGTAATGCACGTTCATTTGAGTCTGATGAAGCCAATAAGCGGAAACGAACGTCACTCGGGTTACCACTCCTATTTCTGCTCCCATTCCTTAACTGGGGGCATGCCCACGATTACACTTTGTCTGGAAATATTACTGATTAAAATTCTGGCGAAATTAATAGTGCAAACGCAAAAAACTGACTGTTGAGGAAAATAACGAGCACATCAAATGCAAAACATTACCTTTTCAAATACCACAGGGTATACCAAAATGTAATTATTAAACGATTCAGGAAAAGCTGTAGACTGTAAATGGCTGTTAATCTTCATTTTATTATACATGTAACAATAGGTGCAGTTAAAACACGTTTTTTTTTCAATCTAGTAACATCGTTTACTTATGTCAGTCGCTCATATAGGCTTACGGCCGCCTTATGCATTGACCAAATTGATCGATGTCACGATATACACACAAATATAACAACAACAATAAATGTCTTTATTAGTATCTCCGAATTGAGGCGAAGCTTAGCCAAAGATATCGGTCGACTGTTAGCCCTTACCTCTTTAAGCTTTATAAGCTTGCTGATTTGACTATTTATCAGCAAATCTATTAAAAATAGCATCAGATGTGACTGTAAATATTACACACCGTATAAAAGTCATTCAATAGAGGGAATTATATATGCATCTGGCGGTATTGAAAGCCTTATCCAGCGTTGTTTCAGACTGACTCAAACACTCATCCACCAATGCGTTAGCGGAGGCTTCATCCCCGGTAATTTCTTTGATATAATTCATGATTTTGCCTTCGTAGATCTGCCCAGCATCATCAATGAAGTGCTTCTTCTTGCCCATACAAAAAATCAGCTGTTTGAAGGTGGAATCTTCTGGGAAGTCACCACCGAAAGCCTTGTCGATCATCTCTGGCGTAGCGCCACTCTCGTCTTTGCAGCTGTTGGCCAGTGCTGTCAGCTGGCCACGAATTCTCTCGCGGCTACACTGAAATAGAATAAAAAAGACCTATTTAGATTGTTTTAGTACGTACGACTAGAGAAATAGAAAGTACTAGTTGCAAAATGTAACCGCCAAAAATGCGATCTCTATACAGTGGCAATCCTGGTAACCATGTTCTTTTTTTCCTTCTTCTTCATCATCTTCTACTGTCTTTATGGCTTTTGCGCTATTGAACAATTAGCCAGCTCGCAATAGTGACTGTACTTTGCCTGGCTAACAGTCATGTACTAGCCACTGGAAGTTATGTTTGTGTTTGGTCAGTACTCCTGCTATAAATTCTTCTTGGTGTATTTATTGAGGAAGAGACATAAAGTTACTATATTTTATAAAATGTATAAACAAATGTATCATATACTGGCTATAGATTTAGTATGGTGACTGTGCCATTTTTTTTGGGTTCCATATAAGTTATGGTACCCTGATGCCATTGCCTTAAAGCATTAACACCATCCAAATCCTTACGAGTATAACACCGTCCCATACTCGAGAGACAGGATGTGAAGATGCTTGCATTTTTACCCGATACTACTGATTTCTGGAAAATTCGTAACTCTAATCCTAGAATATAAAAAGGGTCTTTGACCATTCTCTGTACTCATTTCGTTACTTGTTCTTCTGTTCTCAACTGTTGCTGATGCCTCAATAAAAGCTACTCTACAAAAGTTACTGAAGTATTTCTCTAATATCCTTTGGCGATTATAAGAGAAATAGGAACGCGAGTGATAATTCCTTCTACTCATGTGATGAAAAATGCTGTATTAAGGTTCTGAGTTCAAAAATTTTGTCAGTTCTAAACTTTGGTTTATATATATATAATATCGTAAACGGTTATCTGTTACGCTATCGTAATTTACTTTGATCTATCTAAAAGAGTAAATACGTTTTTGCTAATAAAACTAACTAAAGATTTAAAAATTTTAACTTTTTGACATTTAAGTTCCTCCATCTTGAGTTTTCAAATAAAGGCGTATTAAACCGTCTTTCTATCTTGTTGTTGAAACATAGCATGCTTTACATGCTCATTATGTTCCTCTCATCAAGCCCTTTCTCCTGTTACTAATCATAGAACTTTATAAGGTTTTGAATTCAGTTTATTTAAACGGATATATAGTATATGATAAATGTGTGTAATTATGTGATATAATCATGTGTTCAATAATAATCAAGAATATATCAAAATATATTAGTATGTATTGTAATGACAGTGTTACCTATAGGTAAATACCCGCGCACAGGCCTTCTGTGGGAACTTTATGTTTATTTATTTTGTTCCAGACTAATTGTATTTTATAAATAAACATTATTATTATTACTATAGAGGTGACCCTGAACATTATAAATCGGAGGCCGCCATATTGAATTTAGAATGACGTCATGTTACCTATTGTGTTCCTTCCATTAAGCTCTTTAATCTGATACCCATACGATAGGGGTGATTATAAAATTAAGCTACCGCCGTATTGGATTCAACGTCGCGGCAGTTAACTCATTATACAGGGTGCTTTCAAAGTCGAGTCATTTATTTTAACAGCTTTTTGAACTCGATATACCAAAAATCACCTATACAAAAGTCGCATAATAAGAGAGTAACTTTACATTATTAAACATTATTTAAAAAAAAACATTATTACGCAGACACCCCCTTCCCCCGCGAGCGACATTTAGTTGAACAATTTCTCGGGGCACTAGAAAATAATTGAAAGACGGAATAAATTTGTGAGTCTCTGAACTGGAAAAATCAATTTAACTGAATTACAAAGCCTAACCAAAATCTAATCCTAATCCTAAAGTAAATCATTTTCGTTATGTAATGTACTGATTTACCCTATAGTACTATGTACTCCAATTTTAAATATTCATTACTAGGTCACGTACCTCTGCACTATTGAAGAATATGACATTAATCACAAAAACAACAAAAAAGTCTTTCATCTTACAGTCGTTTTATGATCTGTTGCCAATCAAACTCTAGAATGAATAAAAAACACTGTGCTTACCTAAACTTTATAGCATATTACGGGAAATAAAATTATTACGGGACTCATTCAAATGTGAAATTGAGAGCTAATGGGTACCTATGAAGAACGTAATGAGTGATATGTGTCTCCATCAAGTATAATGTCTAGATTCTAGGCAAAGCCATACAAACACATTATAAAAAGTGATATCAAGTAGGTTAACTCTGACATCAGTTCACATGTATAACAAAAAGATTATATGGATTAAGTCAGCCAAACATGCCCATGCTCCATAGTCGCCAACCATTTGGTAACACCAACGCTAGTTTGTTTACTTCCATAAATATGGGCCATCTTGCGACGTTGCTGAACCACACCAGTCAACCAGGTCATAAGCATCAGTCAGACTATAACTCGAGATCAAGAACGCCGGCGATGGAGTCACACGCACACACAGGTTGGCGCATGAAGGATACCATCGCCCCGATCTACCGCGTGTCGCGTCTGGAAATATTTATCCAAGTTTTAAGGGCAAATATGCGAGGAAATCTATGATGTGTGAAATGTGTACTACTAGGTGCGTGCAATTACCCCCGATTTTTAATCCCTACAAATGTTTCTATCAAAAGGATTACAAATCTCTGAAACGGTTGGTGCTCAAAGAAACTGGCAGATGCGGTCAGAGGTATTGAATTATCCAATTTTTAGTTGCATCATTTCTAAGAAGATCCCGCATGCATCTAGAATTTCTTCTGTTGTGAATCCTTTCGTCCCGACTTGATAGGCTGTCGAATATTATACCCGATTGACAATGCGACAACTATGTCCTACATCAATAGAAAAGGGAGCTTCTAGTTTCCACGTCTGGACCAGGTTGCGGGAGAGCTATGGCAACTGTGTAAAGAGAAAAATCTTACTGTCCTCTCGTCAAATATAAAACATAGGGTACAGATGAGCTTTTGCCTGTCCCTGAAATTTCGCTTCTAGAAGTAACGCAAAGATCTGATGGAAACACCCAGGACGCCGCTCCCACTAGCTCTGAAGCTTACCCTGGTTGTCGTCACTGGAAAGCTGTCATTCCGATCAGCATATACTCGTATAATCCATCATGTTATTGAGGGCTTAGATTACGGTACGACCTTTGTCGGGAAAAAGTACTTGTCAGACGAACTTTCAAGTAAGGTAGAAAAACAACGAATGAATATCGATAAGGGGAAACTATGTTCGGAACTAGTATGTTATGCTAAATCTGCGACTGTATCAAAACATTTTTGATTGTTTTGTAGTAATGGAGATATTGCCCAATTAGGTACTAAAGACTCACCCTGTACATCTAATTTGTCGCAGCAGTTGCGACACTCAAAGGAAGAAAAGTAGTCTTGCGGAAACTTAGATGAAAAATAAATTACGATCATAGGCATGCCCTCAGTAAAGGAGCTGGAGCAGAAATTATAGGATTGGTAACCCGAGCGACATACATTTCTGCTTGGCTTCATCAGACCCAAATGGATGTGCATAGAAAACACTGAAAGAAGCATAATATACGAGTGTAACCAGAAGGAAAACGAGGATGGGAAGGGAACTAGAAGCCACAAACAAGCCAGCAGGCACATTTGTGGCGCCGATCAGAAGACCTCATGCTTACGATGTATCAACCGAGGTCGCTACGGAGGCCAGCTATAGCTACCTGCCGTGGTACTTTATCCCATGAGTAAATTCGAGAAAAAACAAGTAGTCCTACAAAAGCTTAGATGGAAAACAAAGGACAATCGAGAGCATTTCCGCAGTAATGCACATCCATTTGGGCTTGATGAAGCCAATAAGCAGAAACGTACATCGCTCGTGTCATCAATTCTTTTATTTCTACTCCTGTTTCTTCATTGGGACATGACACCGACTGTCGTTTGCCTTAAAATATTTCGAAAAAGTCACTGCTTAAAATTCTGTCGAAATTGATAGTCAAATACAAAGAACTGGCTTTTTTCAGGAAAACAACGGGCACGTCAAATGCGAAACAACACCCTTCTAAATACCACAGGGTATACCGAAATGCAATTAAGGTAAAACTGTAGACAGAAAATGGCTGTTAATTTTTATTTCATTATACAGGTAACAAAAGGTACAGTTAAAAAATGATTTATTTTTTTTTCAATTCAGCAACATTATCCTTTACTTATGTCGGTCGTTCTACCGATGTCACCATATACATATAATAATAACAATAAATGTCTTTATTAGTATCTCCGAATTGAGGCGAAACCAAATGGCTACTCCGCCACTCAACCTCAAGATGTTCCGGTGGACCGCTAGCCTTTACCTCTTTAAACTTAATAAGCTTGCTGATTTGAGTATTTATTAGTATATCTATAAAAAATAGCATCAAATGTGGATTCATGCATTACGCAACTTATTAAAGGCATTCAGTGTAGGGAATTATATAAGCATTTGGCGGTATTGAAAGCCTTGTCCAGCGTTGTTCCGGACTGACTCAAACACTTATCCACCAATGCGTTAGCCGAGGCTTCATCGCCGGTAATTTCTTTGATATCATTTCTCATTTTGTCTTCATCGAGCACCCCAGCGTCATCAAAGTAGTGCTCCTTCTTGCCCATACAAAAAATCATCTCTTTGAAGGTGGAATCTTCTGGAAAGTCACCCTCGAAAGCCTTGTCGATCATCTCTGGCGTGGCGCCAGTATCGCCTATGCAGCTGTTGGCCAGTGCTATCAGGCGGCTATGAATCTCCTCGTGGTTACACTGAAATACGAGTAGAGTATAAAAGATCTATTTAGATTTTTTAGCACGTACTATTAGAGAAAGTTTTAAAGTACTAGTTACAAAACGTAACTGCCAAAAATGCCATCCCTGTACAGTGGCAATCCTGGTAACCATGTTCTTTTTTTCTTCTTTCTCTTCTACTATCTTCGTGGCATTTGCACTATTGAACAATTTAGCCAGGTCATTAGATAGTGACTGTACTTTGTATGGCTAGCCATGTACTAGTCAGTGGATGTTATTTTTGTATATTTCTGTACCCCAGAGCCAGACTAGGTTAAGTCCATTTTTGTCAAAAATGATTTTAATATGTTAAGCTTATGATAATATTGTGAATTGTCATTTGCTACATGCAGCGTCCATCTATCTGTAGTAATAAGGACGTAACGACTTTTTAACTCATGTCAATTTGCATACAATACAATGCAAGAAAAATATTTCAAGTACAATTATCTCAAAACTACTTATTTGGACTCATCCTCTGAGGTACAGAACCTAGTCTGGCTCTGAGGTACAGATTTAAGTACTCTTGCTATAAATTCTTCTTGGTGTATTTATTAAGGAAGAGTCACAAAATTATTATTTTGTATAAAATGTATAAGCAAATGTATCAGTTTGTTGTTTGGCTCCGCTAGTACTGGCTGTAAATTTAGTAGGGAGTCCGTGCCATTTTTTTTTTGAGCTAGACGTATAGATTAAAATCAGCATTCAAAGAATATGCTATTGAGGTCCACCTATTGTCCTTATTCACAGAAAGGATCATTTTCATAATCGTGGTCAAGTGTCTTCTACCCATGTAAGGAAGGATGCTCTAATAAGGTTTTTTTAGAAAACTGAGTTCAAATATATTGTCAGTTGGTTATTTTGACAAAATCGAATTAATTTCAATATCGTAAACCGCTATCTGTTATGCTCTCGTAATTTACTTATGATCTTTAAAGAATATTTAAAACAAATACTATTGTAGTTAATAAATGAAGGATTGAATGCATTTTTGTTAATGAAACTTACACATTTAACAATTTTAATTTTTTAACATTTAAACAAAAATGAAGTTCCTCCATCCCAAGTTTTCAAATAAATGCCTGTTACACCCTCTTTCTATCTCGCTGTTAAAACGTGACATGCTTTCATCGCATACACATATAATCATAAACAAATATTTTGCGGCGACGGATATATTGGGTTAGGACAACATCACGTTGCCTATTATGTTCCTCTCATCAAGGCCTTTCTTCTGATACCCATATTATAGAGGTGATCAAAAAAATTATAGATCGCCATTCGGCAGAGGCCGCGGTATTGAATTTAGAATGACGTCATGTTATCTATTGTGTTCCTCTTACAATCACTTTCATCTGTTACACTTGTTATAGGAGTTGTTATGGAAATGATAAAGCGCCATTTTAAAGAATCTACCATTGATCGATTCAACATGGCGACAATTAATTCATTATATATTGTTATTCTGTGGAAACTGTGCTTAGACGTAGTTAATAAGCCCTCAGGAGGTGGTTCTTTGTACTTTGGTTTTTTTATGCAAATCGCTATGGTTTGGGCGCCCCCTAGTTCCAAGCACTAGGAAACAACAAGTAACCACTGTTGGATTTCTGGCGCTAAAGGAGATACAAACTCACAAGGTTCATAAGCACTTATTGAACAAAAGATATAAAAAAAATTAAAAGAAATCCTGGAGGAGAAGGTTGTTCTGTACTACCCGTACTATATTATAATGGTAATCATGCTAAAATATTTAGTATGACAAAGAAGATAATATTGAAGATTTGCGCTGCTAGTCAAAACATTTCCATCATTATTAAGAGCAAGTGTATGGGGAAAAATATATATGCAATATGTATTCTGCGTGTGTGAAGTTGCGGAGGCTAGAAGGGTAGAAATACACTAATGCTAAAGAAATGAGATATACCCCACCAACCCCATACAATCCCAACCATCAGCTTCTTATCCTTCAATTTTGTTCTAAAACCGTGCAGAAACAATGGAAGCGTTTGAGCCCTTTTCAAGTTTAAGCCAAACCGTATACGGCATTGGATCACTTTTAGTCCTTGGCATAATGGTAACCTTGTGTAAAAATTTAATTTAAAAAAATTTCATCAAAAGTGGCACCTTACGTGTTACAAAGAGGCCATGGGTTAGCAGATAGGCCGACAGACAGACTGACCAGCCCACGGAGACATCCAAAAAAACAAATCTCATTTTCGAAGGTTTTCAGGATTTGTGGTTCGATAATGAATCAAGAGACAAAGCAAAGTAGTCAATAATATTATGAGATTTAACAGAAATGTCAGTCATAATGAAATAATCATAAACGTTTGTTATTTTGTATAAAACTTACTTTGACCCCTTAGGGCCTTTGGCCTTTCAGCAGTTTTAAGAGAATGCTAAGAGAAGAAAAAGCTATAGACAAACCAAGAGATAGACTGACAGAAGGACGTTACATGCTGGGACACGGAAAGGACAGAAAATTGCATCATAAACAGTGGTTCTTAAAGTAGGCGGTAACACCCCCTTGTTGGCCCTGGGGGCGGGTAAAGAGCCTAGAGGGAATTGGGGAGCGACGAATTGATTTGGGGACAATGAATCGATTTAAGTGGCGACGCAACGGAAAATTTGTATGCCCCTATCTTCAAGTGTCACAAAGATATTCGTTCTTTGAAGCTCTGGACCCCCCGCTGTCATAGGGGCATTTTTTCTCAGAAGAGCTGATGTAGTATAGAAGGCTTTTATCAACTTTCAATTGCAGGTACCCTCCTCCCCCCCCGAGAGCGACAATTGCTTGAACAATTTCGGGTCGCACTAGAAAATAATTGATTCGCAAAAACACGAAATATAAATACAAAGCCTAATCAAAATCTAATCTTTCCTAATCCTAATCCTAAGGCAAATAATTTTCGACTTATGATATGCTGATTTACCCTATAGTGCTATGTATTAAAATTTTAAATGTGTATTACTAGATCACATACCTCGACACTACTGAAGAATATGACATTAGCCACAAAAACAACAAAAAAGTTCTTCATCTTACGGTCGTTATGTGACCAGTTACCTATCAAACTCTAGAATGAATGAAAAGCAATGTGCCTACCTAAACTTTATAGCATATTCTGGGAAATAAAATGATTACAGGGCTCATCCAAATGTGAAATTGAGAGCTAATGGGTACCTATAAAAAACGTAACGAGTTACGAGTATATGTGTCTCTGTCAAGTTTAATAAGTGTACGTCTAAACTCCAAGCAAAATTTATCGAAAGAAACTTGTAATTTATATTACCTAATTAACAGTTTTAATGCGCGTGTTTTATTTGTTATGCAAGCCCCAATTACGACTTCCTGTAAGTAATTGTTATTCTGAATTTTAAGTGAAACATTGTCGATTAAGAACGTTTATTTGATAGTCTAGATTTGTTAATGTATAGGTTCTAGGCAACGCAATACAATAACGTTGGGAAAAGCAGCTTCATGCAAGTTAACTCTTCACTTCAGTTCACATGTATAACAAAATGATATGGATCGAGTCAGCTAAACAGGCTCATACTCCACAGTCCCCATCCATTTAATAACGCTAACGAATGTTTGTTCACTGCCCTGAATATGTACTATCTGGCAATGGGGAACCACACCAGTCAACCACGCTTTAAGCTTTAGTTAGACTATAACTCGAGATTGAGAAGACCGGCGCATACACACACACACACACACACACACACACACACACACACACACACCCACACTCACACACACACTCACACACACACGCACACACACACACACAGAGAGAGAGAGAGAGACGCACACACACACACACAGAGAGAGAGAGAGAGAGACGCACACACACACACACAGAAAGAGAGAGACGCACACACACAGCTTGGAAAATATTTATCCAAATATAAAGGGCGAATGTACGGATAAATCTATGATGTGCGGTATGTGTGCTACGAGGTGTGTAAAATTACTTCCGATTTTTAACTCCTAGAAATGATTCTTTCAAAATGATTAGAAGCCTCTGATCGATTCATGCCGTCGCCACTGAACAGGTTTTCAAAAAAGATTTTTCATCCTTGGCAAAGTGATTACCTTGTGCACAAATTTCATCGAAATTCGATCGGTACTTTCTAAGTTCTAGACGGGCCAAATAATAGCGGATAGACAGACCTATGGAAATAGTTTGTCGTCATATAGCATCCAAAAAACATAACTCATTGCATGGGAAGTAAAAGTGCACAGATATTTGCACCTCTCTCGGAATCTAGCAATTTTGTGTGACCATCTATCGCAATAGAGGAGATAACTATGAGTCAGTCCATTATCAATTACTTATTATTAAATTACGCTTTTGACTACGCCTAATCGATGGGCATATTTCTGTGTTTGGTTTCTTGTCATGAATCTACGCATCTGAGAGTCAAGTCTTTCGTCGCGGTTTTCAAATTTTTAGGCACCATGTATGTATAAACAAACATCAGTTTCGTTATAACTATATACCTATTCATTCTATGACGCTATTTAATGTGGCAGCATAGTACAAAATAAATAAAATAATGTCATGCTTTTTCATGTTACTTATTTGCTATTAATGAGCAAAAAGGTTTTCAAACATTAATTTAGATAAGGGTTACATAGTGAAGTGTATCATTAATATTGTTAGAAGTGACATCATTATAAAAATATGTGCCATAGCGGACTAATAAATCAAAACATAATAGATGATTGGTAGTTTTGTTCTACAAGGTAAAGCCTGTCGACGAATAACAATGGTTTATAATTTTGGCAAATCAAGTACTCATTATTTTTTAGTAATTATGGGTTCAGTCTTACTAGACAAATACTTATTACTCTTGTCATGGGTTTTGAAAAAAAACATTGAATGGTGGACAATAAAACTGAATCAGGGTATCATACTAAGCGGACCAATGATTTTATGCAAAAGCTTTTAAAACCGATTCATTCTAAATCTACGTTGGTCGTGAACTAATCAATATTCATATATTATTAGAATTTCTTTAGTGCACTTTTTGGTGAAAATAAATTTCAAAATCTGTGATTTGGAATAAAAATTAACCAGTACAGCAAATATTGAACATAAAAGGTCTCGTTTTGAAGGTTATTCTATACTCTGCAACTTTCTTTCTAAAGTGGTTCTACCAATAATTCATAGTTGTTTGAATATATGGGAAAATCTGTTCAACTTTTAATGTATCTTTGTATCTCTGGATGAAGCATCTTTCATTTACCTTCAAGACTATATTTCTGAACATGATGCTTCTGTCTGTCCGGCCAAGAGACAGCCAACTATGAACAGCTGTTTCGTGCTTCTTGCCTACTCATCAGACTGGTCGAAAGCACAGTAACTCTCCTCTATTCAGGAAGTACAGTCTATCAAAAAAACAGATGATATTCCAGATTTGAGAGGGAGGTCTTCTCGAATGTCAAATGGTCACAAGGGCGTTCGCAGGGGGGGCAGGGGCGCAGCTGCTCCCCTTTCTCCTAGCTAGACAAAGCGTAAATGGAGAGAACATTTTTTAAATGAATTAAATTATTCATGTGCAGGGGACAAACTGAATCAGCATACATATATTAGGTAAGAAATTACTAGGATTAATTGAAATCTGTGTTCTGTATTATATATAAGCTTAATTTTGCTAGAAGCACTATATATATAACTTGGGACGAGGTCATTGTCGTCTAGACTAGTTAGGTGAGAAATAAAGCTTCGGCCTTTAGTTGGGTACTTCGATAAAATTCAAGCAATGAAGACTCTTTATACTTTATTAGTCTCTAATAGCTTTCAATGGACTTTGCCATCTTCATCAGGAGCTGCAATAACATTGAAAAGAAATAGCAACTATTGTGCAAAATGATTTTAAATTAACTTACAATCGTATGTGAGATTGTTGCTAAATGTTATTAACGTTTAAGTTGAGGGAAACATTTAGTAGCCTGGTGAAAGCTGTAAAGATGGTACATTCATTAAAATTAGTATAAAATACACACTGTATGTCAGGAACAAATTAACGATGTAATTTTAACTTTGGTTCTAGATATTTTTTAATCCGTTTTAATTTGTTCCTGACATACAGCTGTGTGTATTTTATACTAATTTTAACGAATGTACCATGTATCCAGCTATAACCAACTATAAGTTAGGCCCTAACATATTATCATCTTTGATGTTCTGTGACATAAATGACTATATCATAATTTCAAGGCTTACTAAAGAATTTTTGTTTATTACATTTTTTTATTATAATGTATGACATTCTATAATATTTGGAATCAGAATTAAAAGCTGTTAAGGGGGTTAGATGGTAGAATAGGTATATAATCTAAATCTCGCCTCCTGTAAGAATATTACAAATAAAAGACGTTAATTATTATTATTATCCGCCTATGCAAAAATTCAAAGTTGAGACGGGGTATAAGAGACGAAATGAATCACTCTGTAGGGAGCGGTATATTCCAAGTAGGAAGCGCATAGTCCACAATTTTTGTGAATAACACTTTTGGTTGTTTTATACGAATTGAGATATTGTTCAATTAGCTACTAAAAACTCACCGTGTATATCTAATTTGTTGCAGCAGTTACGTCACTGGATAGCTTGAACATTTTTTTCGATGTTAATTACTCCAAAGGCTTTAACTTTTGGCTACATTTTATATTTAATCTCATGCACTTTTCGGCAAAAATGAACGATTTTTGCAATAACCAATTAACTGTTGCAACGAAATGGACATACCCATTGTGAAGGTGTTTTCATCCCTTCCTCAATTCTCATATAGACTTATAACTCTGAAGTTTGATAAATAAGTTACCCAGAATTCTTCATTTTGAGATGAAGGGGCTGTGCATTCACTATAAGGAATATATAGATGCTTCTGCACAATTCCTTTCACAACATTTGGCTTGCTTGTATGTTTGAAAAAAGAAATCCTAGTAGTTTTCCATATCCATATAAATTGTCAAATCGTCGTGAAAGACTCTATATAAAATAAATGCACATAGAAAGGAAAATATCAAGCATAGTTATGTAGATGTGGAGCTTTCGCCAAAAAAACAATGGAAAGAATTGAAGGAATAAATTAACAAAAGTGACGTCAGAGTGCTAGGCGATGGCAAGAATAACAAAAATAAGATTCCAGTCTATCAGGTGAGAATATGTCGTATGTGAAAATAGAGAACACCCCCCTGGTCTAACACCTGAACTTCACTGTCACCTAAAACACGAACATTCCGACGGCACAATGGAAAAGAAAAAACACCCCATCCCTTGAATAAACGTTCACCTGAACGGTGACATACATCCTCGCGCTTTCAAGTTCGATAGCCACTTTGATAAGAGTCGAAAAGGAGCCGAGGAGTCTCTTTCAACGAGAACCAAAGTAATGGCGTTTCCTTTGTTTGGCTCTATGCACAGGGTCTTCTTTCATCTAGCGAAATTAGGTGCGGACTCTATTCTGTCCCGTCGGATACATATTCTTATCTTTATTATTTGGCAATTGACCGGGGCCTCGCTTCTCCAGCGCTTGTTTTTCATCTAGATTTGCCTTTTTTGTCCTCAATAGGGGGATAACGAGGTAATTTTTTAAATTAGGTGATGTACGTCTTCATTATTGCTCTGCGTGGTACAGGGTGGAGAACAAATGGAAGTATAAGTGCGCTGTGGTTTATCGTTTGCAAGCCACTTGGTAATGAGATACCATACACAGTAATGGAATGTAGACTGACAGATGAAATTTTACTTTGGAGTACTGCGAAACTTCATTTTTAGAACGCCCAAATTATTACAGGGTCATTTTATGACACTTGATAACAACCCACTAATTTAAAACCACGTTTTCTTTATTATAGTGAGACTAGTGTTACATCTAGAAAAAATAATTTATTCAACTTGATATTTTGGCAGGTAGTCTTACATCAAGGATGAAACGATAGCATTGTATACACCAATACATTATAACAAAAAGTTAATAATGTAATGGGTGTCCCCGTAGCTGAATACACTCCTGTATGTGTCTAGGCATAGTCAAAATGAGATGATCGATGGCACCTCATCGTAAGCAAATCAAACTTCGTAGGCGTACTCGGCTCTCAGAAGCTGCTTTCTTCGCAAAAACTAAGAGATAACATTTTAAACAATGCAAACAAAAACAAAGATAAAACTTTGACATTATCGCCACAACTTGCTTTATATAGTATATAGTCATTATGCTGTGAAAAAACAAGTTGAA